CTACAGTCAGACTGCATTCAGTCTACAGTCAATCTACAATCATACTATAGACTATAGTCAGTCTGCAGTCAATCTAAAGCAAGACTACAGTCACACAGCAGTCGATCTTCAGTCAGTCTAAAGTCAATCTATAGTCAGTCTAGTTAGACTACAGTCAGATTAAAGCCAATCTACAGTCAGACTACACTCTATAATCAGGCTAAAGTCAGTGTACAATCAGACAGCAGTCAGTATACAGTCAATCTACAATCAGTCTACAGACTATAGTCAGTCTGCAGTCAGACTACAGACTATAGTCTGTAGCCCAAATAGAGCTCAAATAGTGTTTACATTGATCACTAACAATGCGTCACTAGACACCAAGAAGGTGGAGCCAGTGATCGGCTGAAACTAGCAGGAAAGCTTACCTGGGCTCCAATGGCGCTGGTCAGCTTGAAGATGTAGAGAATGATATCTAGCAGAGGCTGAAGGACAGAGAGAGAGATTCATGGGAGTTTTGCTTTAAAACTGTGTTCTGGACAAAGCTCGTTGGGCTGCTGCAGTAGGACAGGACACCATGAGGATGACGACGATAGGTGTGACTGAAGCATTACTAACCTTGCTCAGGTTGGAGTAAAGATCCACTACGCTGTTGCAGAATTTCTCCACATCCTGCGTCAACAACTGGTCTGGGTTGGCGATCCGGTTGTCCAAGTTTCCCATCTTGTAGTATGTGAAACCCCTGAAGAGATGGAGAGCAATGACCTTTGATCTCATTAGGTCACTATGCAGTAGAAAGCAGTCAATGGATCCATGGAGGAAAGACTGCTTAGTTCATGCTACAATAAGAAGAATAAATAGCAGGGTTCAAGTAAGAGCATGATGAATGGCAAGTCTGAAGGAAAAGCAGTCCCTCTGTTTCTTTATCGGTTCTAACAAAACCTACGTGCTTTCCTCAAAGCGTTTACGCACTGGAACTAGTGGACAGGTATTCAATAATCATTCCTGGCCCACTGATCTATATAAGGAGAATGGAGACATGATGGAATTCTAAACTTACTGCAGGTACTGGTCGTACAGCTTCTTGGTGAGCCTCTCACGGAACCGCAGCTTCAGCTCATTCAGGCCCAGCTTCAGGAAGTTGTTGACCAAAGCTATCTGTAAGGAGCCAATCACACTTCATCATCAGACATGGTTTTGTTTAGGTCCGGACTCGTCGGAAGGGTTTTACAGGAAGACCAGAGATAGAGAGAAGTGGGACCTAGATCCCTCAGGGGTTCTTAGTTCAGATAGAGCACCATTGTCCTCCTATAGGAATGCAGCCTCAGAAGATTCATGGCTGCGTTCGGCTCAGTCACTACCGCCGTCCTCTTATAGCAATGCAGCCTCAGAAGATTCATGGCTGCGTTCGGCTCAGTCACTACCGCCATCCTCTTATAGCAATGCAGCCTCAGAAGATTCATGGCTGCGTTCGGCTCA